CCTTAAAAACGGCGGCGGGGCGGCGTGGGTGTGTGGACAAACACAGGATAGACGGACGCAAAGGAAGAGACGGACACGCGGCTCCCACGTGGGTGTGTTTTAATGGGGAGAGGGGAACACAGTAAGGGGTGGGACGTGCGACACACAAGGGTAGGGGGGAAAAGGGCCAAGAGGGGGGCCAAGAGGAGGGAAATCTCGTGGACCTTCGCTTTTAACGGGGGGCGCAAGGTTATCTGGGAGGAATGGCCTTCACCTGGGCGTGGCCAGCACGCACACAGGTGATGGTAATCCAGGAGAAGTCTGGGAGCTGTAGTTTCCAAGGAATAACATTGTCTCCAAATTAAAAGAAACAAACAAACAAAACATATGTAAAAAAGGCTAGGGGTACAGCCCAGAGGTCTTGATAAAACAGAGAGGATGGGAAGAAAGGAAAGAAAAAAGGGGAGGGAGGGCAAGGAAGGGACCCAGTTGGGAAACAATTCTCTCATCACTACCCAAATCCAAAGCATTAGCAAAACAGGGCAGGATTTCCCTCACCATTTTTTGCTCCTAGAATTGAAAGTCAACAAAGCAGAAGGAGCGATTGCCAGGACCTGCCAGGACCGTGGTAACCAAGTGTGAGCTCGCCATGAACAAGAAGGAACAGAGGGACCTGGTTAAGGGAAAGCGAGCTGATGATGGACAGGCAGAGCGACTTGGAGGTCGCAGAGCCAAAGCAGAGGGAAGAAAACGTCCGGGCTTTCCTTTCACCGAGTCTGCAGGGGGTCTCTTTCATGCTTCCGTCCCCTCAGGTATCTATCTCCTCCTGGGCCACTCCTGGAGGTGACGTTACCCTTTCCCCGTTTTTTATTCCTGGGGGCACACCTCAAAGTATTAAAAGCAGCTTTGCAATTAGAAAAAAGGTCAACAAACTGTACCTCTCCCATTACATGGATGAAAAAGCTACGCCTGACTGAACCCTGGTGGAGAGAATGAGTCACTACACTCAAAAAATAAAAATCCCCTCCAAGTTCATTTATACTTTAAAAAATAATGAGCACGAGCCATGTTGTTAATTCCAGCACTCGGCAGGCAGAGACAGTCCGATCTCTGTGGATAGTGAGACCCTATTAATAATAATAATAATAATAATAATAATAATAATAATAATAATAAAATAGTGGTGGTAGTAGTAGCAAAAATGAGTATAACCTGGCACTTGGGAAGTTAAGACAGGAGGATCTGGAGTCCGAGGCCAGCAAAGGCTACACAGCAATACTGTCTCAAGATAGACAAAAGACATGAAAACAGCTTGTAGTAGACAGAGATTTAAGTGTTTTTTTTTTTTTTAACTGTGTGTGTATATACGTGTGTGCATCTGGGGGGCGAGGGGAGTTCGAGACTGCGTCTCACTGTGTAGCTCTGGCTGTCCTGGTATTCGCTCTGTAGACCAGGCTGGTCTCAAACTCACAGAGATCCCTTTGTCTCTGCCTCCCGAGTGCTGAGGTTAAAGGAGTGCGCTTAAACTATTTATGCTGGTGGTGTTGCTATGTGGTGGTGGTGCAAGCCTTTAATCCCAGCACTCGGGAGGCAGAGGCAAAAGTTTCTATGAGACCGAGGCCAGCCTGCTCTACAGAGTGACTTCCAGGCCAGCCCGGGCGACAGAAGACCCAGCCTCAAAACCAAACAAACACTCGACAGACTCTGGTTACGAAGTCTCTGGAGGTCCTACTTAGGTGAGACATGACCTACAGTCTCTCCATAAGGAAACTAGGCACAGCCTACCCAGACCACAAACCGCACGGCAGGGCAGACGCAGGCGCGCTCGCACCACGTGCTCCGAACGCAGGCCAGCCATTGGTCGGTCTCCCGCCGGGGGCGTGCCCTGTGCTTCTGGGGGCACAAGATGGCGCTGCCCTCCGCACGTTGCTGGAACTTGTGCCGCTGGGGAGCCAAGCGATGGGGGGTCCCTGCCAGGGTAGCCCGGAGAGGTAGCGTTCTTTCTTGTTATTCTTTCACGCCAAAGTAGTAGTTAACGTGTTATTTCCAGAGCGCGCTCAGCGAACCCCATTCCTCATCTCCACCCCCGCCCCCTCCCGCAAGTCTGCCTTGGTCTAGATTTCAAACTTGGGGCACCAGTCGGTGGCTTCCCTCATCCCCCGGCCGTGATTTGCGGCTCCCAGGGCTGTTATATTAAAGCCACATCTCTACTCTTTCCATCTTAACGTTTGACTTTAACCGTTTTCCCATCATCGCCCGACTGCTTCAGATCAAACCAGCCCTAGGTTTTAACCTGTCACTACCCATTCCTTTTTTGTCTGTCTGTCTGTCTGTCTGTCTGTCTGTCTGTCTATCTATCTATCTATCATTTTTTGCTCTGCCCTCAGGCATCAGTTTCAAACTGGAAGAAAAAACTGCCCACAGCAGCCTGGCACTCTTCAGAGGCGACACGGGTGTCAAATACGGCTTGGTGGGATTGGAACCCACCAGGGTGGCCCTGAACGTGGAGCGCTTCCGAGAGTGGGCAGTGGTGCTCGCAGACGCCGCAGTCACCGGTGGCAGACACTACTGGGAGGTGACGGTGAAGCGCTCTCAGCAGTTCCGGATAGGAGTGGCAGACGTGGACATGTCCCGGGACAGCTGCGTCGGGGCTGATGATCGTTCCTGGGTGTTCTCCTATGCCCAGCGCAAGTGGCACAGTATGTTGGCTAACGAGAAAGCCCCGATTGAGGGGATTGGGCATCCGGAGAAAGTGGGGCTGCTGCTGGACTATGAGGCAAAGAAGCTGTGTCTGGTGGATGTGAGTCAGATCTCTGTGGTCCACACGCTACAGACAGATTTCCGGGGCCCAGTGACGCCGGCTTTTGCCCTTTGGGATGGAGAGCTGCTAACCCACTCAGGACTAGAAGTGCCCAAAGGTCTCTAATGTGGCCGTTACCTAAGTCCCTTAATCATGCTCACGGTCGGTTTTCTGTTCAAAGGGTCTAAAGCTGTTGTACTTTGTCTCAAGAGACTGGTAGCCCTCAAATTCAGTCGGGACCCTTTGTGCAATATTTGAGTCCTCTTTCCGATCCCTACTCCTCGGAAGCTAGGTTTACAGCCAAACTTTGCCCTTGCATTACTGCCAGTTTCCCAGGGCACCGGGTGATCTTCTCCTCCAGCTGCTTCCTTGGGGCCCTCTGTTGGTGCCCAGGTGTCTTAGACTGTTCAGCCACTACCTCTCCTTCCCTTACCCACATGTAACTTGTTTTGGGGGTTCACCAGATTCTCCAGAGTAAATGCTTTCTACCTCTGGCTGGAGGAGTGGTGGCCTTTTCTCTGATGCACCTGAGTCTTGGGTTCTGGCTCCCTCCCTGCTGTATTGACTGACACAGATGTCAGTCCCACGCAGATGCAGCTCTCCACACACCTCTGATACCCAGCCAGTGTGTCAGAACCATTGTGCCAGTTACGGCTGTGACCAGAGGGGGACATGCGGGGCTGTAGTGCCAGAAACTCTTATCTTTGAGAAGTTCCAGAGAGAAGAGGGAGTTCACACAACCCATTTTAGAGCCCATTCAGACCCAAAACTCCCATCCCACTTGGCCACAGAATATACTTAATCAAAGCAGTATTTGGGGTTGAGGAAAACCTGGTGGAATAGGTGGATATGTATATGGAATATAATATTGTTAAGACAGACCGTGGTTCCGTCTTATTCTCTTACCTATGATGGTGATGAAATTGGGTATCTTTAGGGGAGAAAGAGACTAGATTTAGAAAAAAATCATGTAATTAAAGTTTATTTCAACACAAAATACTTTCTCTGTCTATAAAATCACTGTCAGTGGTGGCAGCACGTCCTGCTAAGGGGACAGATCTCTGCAGGTTTCTAGGCCAGGCGCTTTGACTCTGCCCGCATCTCTTACTCTGTGGCAGATGCATATGCCAGGCGGCTACAGCCTCTCCAAGGAAGTATCTTGTTCTCATAGTAACTTCTTCAGAGAGGAACAGGGGACCTGGGTAAAGACCTGGGCTACTTTTGAGTGGATGAAGCCATTGAACTATACCTTGAGGTGTCTATGGATAGCTTCTACTGCAGGTGTTCACAGAGCCTTCCGTGTGCAGTTTACTGGGGGATGGAGGGTTTTGTTCTCACAGAAAACACTGGCCTGTGTCACCACATGGCTGTGTTGATCCCCACTGAAGCAGCTTCCCACAGGAATTTTGGTGGCTGTGCATTGAATGTATGGCCAGCTCATGCTTTTTCTTGAGCAGGGACTGCCCCTGGCCTGTGTTTACACCATGCTCTCTAAGTTCTCTTTGGACAGGGTCTCAGCTGCTGCCTCGGCCTGAGTCTCAGAGAGCATGTAGGAGTCATGGTAATCTTGAAGCAGCTTGACCACCTCTACGTGGTTGAACTGCACAGCGTCATCCAGGGGAATGTTGCCCCACCTGTGAGGAACAAGGACCACGGTCAGGCAGAGAAGACATGGAGAGTGCCATAGTTGTGTGTCTGTGCACGGTGGCTGCAGGCCAGTGGGGTCACCCGCCTTCCCGTCCCCACTAACCCTACTCACCTGTCCTTGACAAAAGGATTCACTTTGCAAGCCTCGATCAGAAACTTGACAACTTCAGTGTGCCCTAGGAATAGGGGCAGAAGGGAAATGAGAGTGCCCAGGTGGGGCCTGACCACTTGGGGGAACCCTTGGTAGCTGGAGTCTGTGCCAGAGGGAAGGAGGTCCCGGACATTTCCTCCCAGCCAGCATCTAGTTAGTCTGTCAGCGGAGGTGCCTGTAGGCAAAACTGGCTGTGCCCTTTACGAGCACAATGATAGGGGTATGCCTGGTGGAAAAGAAGGGTCGCACACTCTGCCCTTCCTCTTTAACCCTTTATTATTATTATTAAGATTTATTTATTATGTATACAGTGTTCCATCTATGTGTTTGCCTGCCAGAAGAGGGCACCAGATCGCATTACAGATGGCTCTGAGCCACCGTGTGGATGCTGAGAATTGAACTCAGGACCTTTGAAGAGCAGGCAGTGCTCTTAACCACTGAGTCATCTCGCCAGCCCCCTGTTTAACCCTTTAAATACCTTCAGCTGCGGCAACATGCAGGGCTGTGCGGGAGTCATAGTCTTTCTGCTCCATGTCCACGGCTGACAGAGCAAACCTGAGGGGTGGGAGCAGCTCGGGTTACCCACATTGGTCTAGAATCTCTAGTCAGCCTCTGAAGTGCGGCCGGACTGGATGCATTCATACTGGTCATCCAATTGAGGCAGAGTCCCCACTTCCAAGGACTAAACTTATCATTCCCAAGTCAATCACAGTGCCAGCTGTAGCTAACTAAGTTCTTAACCTAAGGCAGGCACTTTGATTTTAAAGCAACAGACAAATCCCTAAGGCTGGAGATGGTCCAGTACAGTGCTTTCTGGGGAAGCACAAGGAACTGAGACCCGAGTTTGATTCACACAACCCACATTAAAACACACACACGAACCAGGCATAGTAACACTCGCCTGTAACCAGACTGGGTGGGAAACAGACAAGGAAGTCCCAGGAGCTTGACGTGTTGGTGAGCTCAAGGCCAGTGAGAGGATGGCCCCTGAAGATTGACACCTGAAGGTGTTCTCTGGCTGTCACATGTACACACACCCACAAATGTGCAGTTGCACAAACAGGTGCGTGTATGCTTGCACACACACAGACACACACACACATGAACACAAGCAGGCATGTGCTCATCTAAATTGCAACGTGTCTGGCTCTAAGCCTAAAACTGAAGCATTCTGCCAAGTCCCTAATAAGATATCTGACCCAGAGTGTCCCATCACATTTATGTAGTCACAGTAGAATTACCTTCGGAGAGCCGAGACATCTCCACTATATGCAGCAAATAACAGGTTCACCACGGTCTTGTTCTGAAACATACATTGTACCCGCTTGGGATTAACTGTGGCTTTGAATCCACCCATGTCCACCCCTACCCGTGAGACCCTCTCCATGAACGCCTCACCAAGGACCTGGCTGAAGTGTCGCGGAATGTTTTGTTTTTGAAATACCCTTTAGGCTGCCCGGGGTTTTCCTT